CACCCAGAACGGACGAACTTGGATTCTTTGGATCTGTCCCGGAAAATACGACCTCTACGAAATCAGTCAAGCTCTTGTACATCTCATTCTCGTTCGGCCAAAGCTCCATTCCACGCTCACCTTAGAGATGTTGCTGAAGACTGACCTCCTAGAACTGAAGGCACGAGGATATAACGTGGAGAGAATATTGAAGCAAAAGGCACAAGAGGCCAAGATAGCTGAGGATCGGCGTCAGAAACAGTTGGAAGAGGAGCGACAGCGGCTAAAAGAGAGGGAAGCCGCCTGGGCCAAGGAACAGGCTCAGCTTCAGGCACAAGAGCGGGAGATGGAAGCGAAGAGTCAACCTCTCATGCCAGGTGATTTTCCCGACTCACCCACTAATAAGGGGTCGAATCCCAATGTGCAAGCCGAAGCAACAGAGACACTCCAGGAGCGGCGTCCGCGCGGTTTGTTTGCCAACTTGACCAAGCGATTTGGTTTGGAAAGTGGCCGGTCGAACTGGAATCCTCTTGGGGGACAGCCATCGCCACCCCAGCCTGCTGGGACACCGGAGCCTACAGGCACCCCTCCTCCGCCATATTCTGCAGACGACCCTCAGAGACCGCGCCCGGAAGAACCCGCGCCTGTGCATCCTCCTCATCGTTTGCAGAACGAGTTGCTCTCTGCCATTCAAGCCTGCCGGCCTCATGGATCGTCGAGCTTGTACAGCCGGCCGGAGACGAATGAGGTCACTGAGACAAAATCCTACTGCGACGAGAAGCCAAGCCATGACTTGGAGTTCGTGGCGACTCTACCCTGTGGAATCAATGTGCTGTTCGTGAAGACCCTAGCTGATCGATCCGCATTCCTGTCCAAGAACAGTGCTGGAATCAATTTGTTTGCTGCCCAGTTGATCGAATGCGCTAGTGTCTTTTCACTGCGCAAGGACAGTCTTAGTGTTTTCTACGACCCGGGTGGAAAGACAATAGCATTCAACCGGGCTGGCAGTATTTTCTGCAACTACTTCTACTTCCAGCAGCTGCATGAAAAGGAATTGCTTCAAAACCAGTCGGCTGACAGATCTGAATCGATGGTATACTGGTGGGTCATTCTCTGTCACGAATTGGCCCATAACCTGGTGGGAGACCATAGCTCCGCCCACAGTTACTACAGGTAAGAGGGCCTTCTGTCCTTGATGATATAGAAATTCGACTAACTTGCTGCAGTGAGGGCTTCGTGGCGCAATATTTCCCCAAGATCGCGGTCAAGCTGGCCAACGCGAGCCAGCCAAAGTCGGGTTCAAGTGAATGAATTCATTATACGATTTGATGAACATAATGAGTGCTTCCATGGTCGTTGAGAGGATAGACACAATACATGTTACAGTACATAAATCAATGGCATTTCGGCGCTTATATAACTGAACATAATACAATAATCATTTCCTTCTTTTTTTTCTCTTCGTATACCAGGCTTCAACTGGAGCTTGAGACCCTAAAGTGGCAAGCAGGCAGTCTTTATGGACAAATTACAGTTGCCACTGTCATCCAGAAAATATGGCCCTGCCCTTCCTCTCCCAATCATCTTCATCAACCGATGCTGGACCGTTTGGGGGAAGAAGGTTATCGGAGAAAGACCCAAGGATCGTAGAGCAAAATGTTCCGTTGATTGCCGCTCCACTTCCAGGGACCCTTTTCTTTCCGTCGTGTTATTTTTTATCTACTACGGAGGAGTCACTGCACTGTCTGTCCTTTTTCCTTTCACGATCTTTCTCCTATGTTTGAACTCTTTTGAATTCATATTACATTTCCAACATGTATATTTCTTCCGTGGCGGCGATTAACTGATCAAAATTGGCCCCTCAGGTAAGAAGACAGTGTATCTCAAGATTTACCTATCGCCACTCCTGGTCGTTGGCCGATGAATTCTGGCTATCGCCTATATACGCTCTTGAGGTCTTTAATTCATTTTCGCTTGGCTGGTCGCTGTGTTGGATAATTGCATCCAACCTCGTCTTTCACTTTTAACGCACTCCCCTTTTGGTGTTCTCTGTGGGTACCGTCGGAGCCTGCGGGCCACAGCAATATGGCGCCATTTATAGGCGATGATGAGAGGGCTTCGGGTGCCGGTCAGTCATCCGGCTCGAGTGTCGATGCTCCTGCTCGAAGGAATGTCCTGTACATTGATGCATACGATTCCTTCTCCTACAATGTTGTGGCGATGCTCGAAGAGGTGCTGGATGTTAAAGTCTCGGTGATGACCATCGATTCCGATTGGCCAGACGGCAACATGGTCGAGTACCTACAGCATTTCGAAGCTGTCGTGCTTGGCCCTGGTCCTGGAGATCCGAATGTTGCTAAAGATGTCGGCATCATGCGGGATATTTGGAACCTGAGCGGCGCAGATATGTTACCTGTCTTTGGAATCTGTCTTGGTTTTCAGAGTCTCTGTCTTCATCAGGGCATTCCTATAGGACGATTGCCATATCCACTACATGGCCAGGTTCATCGCATCAAGACTGTCAACAGGGACATTTTCGAAAACGTGCAAGATGTTGAAGTTACGCTTTATCACTCGCTTTATGCCAAACTGGATGCTCCGGAACAGTTGACTCGGGGGGTCGATAGTGGAGACCCTCATGCTGGTCGATTCGCTTCCAAGGACCTTGACCTTCTAGCTTGGTTTCTCCTAGAAGATGGGAAGACACAGATTCCCATGGCTGTGCGCCACCAGAAGAAACCACTTTGGGGGGTGCAGTTTCACCCTGAGTCTTGCAAATCTGACAGGGAAGCTTGCGCTGAGTTGCTCAGAAGATGGTGGGATATGGCCCTGAATTACAACAAAAAGACGGGGCGAGGAGGATATGGCATTCTTCCAGACCCTAACCACTACGCCAGTGGTAGTATTACTCTTCCCGATGCCGCGTCCACAATGTTGAATTGGAGCGCCAGCACTTCCTCCTATTCTGCATATCGTACCTTTATAGCGAGAAGCTTGGATGCCGAAGTCGTCTGCGAGAACTTGAATGCTCCCAACTCGCCAACCGTGCTATTCCAATCTAATGGGAGGTACAGTATTATCTCGGTACCTAGCCCCGCCAGCTGGAGGCTCGAATACTATTCTGAGACTCAAAGTCTGCTGTTAGAGAAGCTGCAGGATCGCCAAGGGACAGAAAGTGGCCCGACTAGGCAGTCAGTGGCAGAGAACATTGTCGAGAGATCCTTGTCAGTCTCTCAATTCTGGGATGTGCTGAGGTTTGTGACGGACATGAAGAAGGTTGATTCAGGAAGTCTCACTGTGCCGTTCTGGGGAGGTTTCCTGGGTTACTTTTCCTATGAAATGGGGCTGGCCTGTCTTGCACGTCCCAAAACAGCTGCAGAAATCCATACGACCTGCGAAAATGCCGGAGAAGATCCTGCCGACGCCAGCTTGCTGTGGACTGAAAGGAGTATCGTTGTCGATCACAAGACGGGCCAAATCACGGTCCAGTCAACATGGGTTGACGATGATCTACCGACCGGATGGCTTCATCAGACCGTGCAGTTTTTGCAAGACCTCGCCCTTACCAGGAGTCAGTGCAAGGTCTGCACTAGCGACACCGAGGCAGAGTTCTTGGATTCCATCCTCAAGCAGAGCGTCATCAAATTCCCAACCCAGGAGAATTATCAGAGGCAGATCAGGGCTTGTCAGGCTGAGTTGGAGGCTGGTGAATCGTACGAACTGTGTCTCACTGGCGAAACGTTGATCACGTTACCCTCTCCAGTTAGTCAGAGTGGCCGTGCGAGTTTTCCCTGGAAGCTGTACAAGCGTTTGAGGAAGTACAACCCCGCCGCCTTTAGTGGTTTTGCGCGACTAGGTCACGTCAAGATTGTCAGCAGCAGCCCCGAATGCTTCCTCAACTGGGATCGGGACTCTACGCTGGAAATGAAGCCAATGAAGGGCACTGTGAGGAAAACCGAAGATATGACCATGGAGAAGGCCCGCGAAATCCTTGGATCGACGAAGGAGATGGCGGAGAATCTCATGATCGCGGATTTGATTCGCCACGACCTCTACGGCATCTGCGGCTCGGGCGGCGTCCACGTAGAAAAACTCCTGGAAGTGGAGGATCATGGACGTGTTTACCAGATGATCACTCATGTCAAAGCCAAGGTTGATCGAAACCGGCCCGGATTTGCCGCACGGGATATGCCGCAGTTACCCTCCTCGAACATGTCCGGATACGGACTGACTGCGTTGCAAAGATGTCTGCCACCCGGCTCGATGACTGGTGCCCCTAAGGAACGCTCATGCATGCACCTCAGCTCAATCGAGGACCGAAAACGTGGGATCTATTCGGGCGTCATGGGCTTCCTGGACCTCGGTGGCGGGGGCAGCTTCTCAGTGCTCATCCGCACAGCTTTTACCTGCTCAAATGAGCAAGATGACGAGCAACTCTGGCGAATTGGCGCGGGGGGAGCCGTGACCACTCTGAGTACTCCCGAAGGGGAATGGGATGAGATGTTGACCAAGTTGCGTACGGTCTGTGGGATCTTTGCTCCGCTTAACCCATAGCGAGCGCCGCTTCTTTCTTGTGATGATGTTATGGGCACCCAAGGCGAATACTTCAACATTTGCAGCGATTTGTATACGGTTTGCATTAGACTATAGAGGTCGATTCAACATTCAGCGTGGGGGACTTGGGCGTGGCGTTTGGTTACTTGGAGATACCTTGTGATTTCCTCATGATATCCTCATGAATGAATAATATGTCATTAGACAAATATATGCGTACTTGCGGTTCCCATGAGCATCAATATCCTGTGCTACAGTAGTTCACGGAATATGCGGAGCTATGTAACTTTGCTGCTGCAAACATTCCAAACATCACTGTCTGTCTCCGCGGAGAGGTATCAACTGGTCAACATCTAAGGTCACACCAGCGATCCCTGCGAAGACAATTGATCTTCGCTGCGACCTAGCTCTCGACCTATACACGTGCGACAACTTTAGTCTACTCTGCATGTTTAAGGAGCATCTCAATGGCCGGTCCTCAAGATGCTTCGTTAGAGGAGATCCTCTGGCGGTCTCCCCCGCACGTCCAGATGATGGGAGGATATCTGCATTCGAATAACAGTAAGGGCAGCTTCTCTGGGCTTAGCAAGTTTGCAGATATCAGAATTCAATTTTTGACACGATGAGCAACGATCAGTTCTGTTCTATTTCGCAGAGTCACCCTTCTTCGATGCCACCTCGAATAACGCCTCCCTCGCTATCCAGGCCAACTACAATGAAGCCTTTCGCCATTTCGTCGAGACCCGCGAAGCCTTTGAAGGGAGGTTGCGGACTATGCAAGGCCTGGAGTTTGTCGTCGCTTACGATCCGTTGCAGGCCGCTGCGCAGACAGATACTCAGTTCGCTCACGAGCCCTCGAACGTATGGGTGATCCGCAAGCAGATGCGGCGAAAGCGCGCTGGTCAGGAAGATGAGGTGGTGGTCCTGGCGACATTCTTTGTGGTGGGAGATTGCATCTACATGGCCCCTTCGGTTGCAAGTGTCGTTGGTAACCGCATTGTACGTCTACGATGGTTCTATTTCTCTCACGTGTGGAAGGGCATGGCTGACCGAATCGCATCAGCTCTCTGCTGTCACATCGCTAACCAGTCTTTTGAAAACCGCCGCGACGCTGCCAATCTTCACCCCGGCCCATGGGCATACCTATCTACCACCAGCTCCGAAACCCGCTGATGCCGGTCAACCTGGCGTTCCGTCTCAGCAGAGCAAAGAGAACACGCCCATGCCCGATGCAGAGAATCCCGCCAGAGTTCCGCTGGTGGGGTCGCAGACGGGGAACACTGCTTCTACATTCCAGGATACGAGGACACTCGCTGAATCACTGAATCTGTTTCTCAGATATGAGGACGAGTACATGGATGAGAATCCGTTGGTCGGCGAGCCTGGATCGTTCATCATGTCCAAGGCCAATGACGTAGATCGGACGGCGACAGCAAAACAGCCGCCAAATACGATCCCTACCAAGATGGGGACTCCATTGGTGAGAGTGGATACACCAGGAAAGGGCCCGGAGAAGGTCGGCACTCCATCTAGCTCTGATGAGAGTAGATTAAAGAAGAAAAAGGGCCAAGTTGGCGGTTGAAGCATGTTCTCGTTATTGCACTAGGCTTCTACAAGATACCCCAGAGTCTTAATATTGATGCGGCTATTCGTAAGAAAACAAGCATTTCTTTACGTTACCAGATCTAAATGAAGTTTAGAGCAGGTGGCAGTACAGCAATGAGTCACGACTATCGCATCCAGAAATGGATTTCGATCAAGCAATGTACAGCTGGGCTGCAGCTACTGAACACGAAACCCACTGGAGGTGACTCATAAGACGGCAAGAAAACATGGTCAAGCAATTGACCGTAATACTAAACATGGTTAGATTTTGGTGGAGATATCCGAATAAAAAAGAAGCTATTACTGTTCTTTGATCTTTCTGACCTGGCTGATCCTAAAGCCCCGGATTGTACCTGCTTATCCGCGCGATATATTTATAGTCACCCACCTAACAACGATTGTCCCTGAATGTTACACTGGACACATCACCTTTCTTTCATAGCATTATAGCATAGATCCTTAACCAGTGACAACCATAGCGATCACCATGGCCACCACACAAAAAGACAAGCCTGCAGTCGTCTGCGTCTTGTAAGCTACCCCTCCCCTCCCGGCCATCCACCGGAAAGGCCATCCCTCCTAAACAACAAGCTCTCCACCCCATCCATGGCGAAAAGCTTATTAACACAATTGCAATCCCTTCCAGCTGCGGCTCAGTAGCAGGCAATGACCCCGTCCACATGGAAACCGCGCGCGCCCTCGCCCACGAATTCCACAAGAACAACGTCCAGCTCGTCTACGGCGGCGGCACAAAGGGGCTAATGGGCGAGCTGGCGCGCACGCTCGTCTCCCTCTCCGGCCCACAAGCCGTGCACGGCGTGATCCCGCGGGCGCTGGTCCGCGTCGAACCAGGCTACGACAACAAGCGGGAGGAGGAGAAGCCGACGGAGAGCAGCGGGAAGAGCGCGGAGCGGACGATCAAGGAACCGCTTGACAAGACTGCTCTGCTGGGGGAGTCGGAGTACGGGACCACGACGATTGTGCCGGACATGCATACGCGGAAGCGGCTTATGGCTGAGAAGGTCATGGCGGGGGGTCCTGGGTCGGGCTTCGTGTCGCTGGCGGGTGGGTTTGGAACCATTGAGGAGGTCATGGAGATGACGACATGGAATCAGCTGGGTATTCACCATCTGGGGATTGTGTTGCTGAATGTCAATGGGTACTGGGACGGGCTGTTGTCGTGGGTGCAGAGTGCCGTCAAAGAGGGGTACATTGGGGCAGACAACGGCAAGATCCTAGTCGAGGCGAAGGATCCTCGCGAGGTTCTGCCGAAGCTGCTGGAGTACCGGGTTAGCAATGGCAGGATGGACCTGGATTGGGGCCAGGAATGAGTTCAGTCCTGGCAGATTGCTGTCTAGCTTGGGCTCAAGGACTGTTTTGACTAGCAGCTCAGATACATGATGGATGAAATAGACCTAGACGATTGATGCAATGCAAGAGACACTACTATTACGATTGCTGTCATTAAGTTTTGCACGATCCGTGATGGATCCATAATTCCGCAACCATATCCCGAATGAGATCGTACTACCGAACATGCCGGAGTATAGAATAAGTATAGTGAAAGCGGATCCACAAGAAGAGGAATGAGATCAAGCTTGCATATCTATGGGCGTTAAGTCCAAAGGGAACTATGAATCGACCTCCATCGACTCCTCTTCTTTCGTCTCCCCGGAATCTGTCTGCTCAAGGGCTTCCAGCAACGGTGAGATGCTCTGGCCATCATATAACTTGAAGGTCTCGATCTTGCCCTGAGCCCCTTCTCCAGCAAGTCCCACCACTCCGACAGATGTGTTGTCCACCGTCAGCTCCTTGTCATGAGACAGAGTTTCTTTCAAAGCCCGAAGGCCGTGGCTAATGAGCTCTTCCCGGCTGCAGCCGGCGAATTTGTCCAGATTCCGCTCCAGGTAAGTCCGCGCCATTTGCGAACGAGCCCCGATGGCGCAAGCAAGCATCTCTTGAGTCATGCCGGAGGGCTGAAATTCGAACAGATGGGGTCCAGCCTCGTCGACACCTGCAACGAGCAGACCGACACCGTATGGTCGCTTGCCATATTGCTGAGTATTGGTCTGGGCGCGGTCGCCAATCTGAGTAACTATACGATCCACTGGCAGTGGGCGGCCGTAAGTCATTCTGGAACCAAGGCACTGTTGCTTCATGTAGTTTGAGAGCACACGAGCGTCCGATGCCAGACCGGCGATAGCAACACCCATATGGGAGTCAACTTCGATGATCTTCTTCTGATAGGATGATAGTTCTTCGGCGTTTCGCTAGAGGTAGCAAAAATAAATGTATTAGCATATAAGCTGTCCCCTGCGATGAAAGCAAGTAAATCTGAAGTCTGTTCGAACCTTTAGACCGACCAGCACGGCGTGTGTCTTGTTGACAAGTCCTACGACAACTGATCCTTGCTTGACTGCTTCCTGTGCATATTCAACCTGGAATATCCGGCCTTGCGGCGAGCTGTCCCGATCAATGGTTTGTTAGTTACGACAAAGCTTTATATCATGGATAGGATAGCTTGGTGGGCCTTACAAGGTGACCGCATCGTTGTCGTAATTGTTTCTGAACATGATTGCGGGCTATGATTGAGGAGCAGTGCAGTAAGGAGGATTCGGCCTTGGTAGAATATTGCCCTACGAAGCTCAATAGCAACAGAAAGAAATGGAAAAGATTGATGATGCTGGGAGGGGGGAGGAGAAACAAGCAGTATCGAAACAGGCAGTGAGCAACTGACGCGGTGACCTCCAGCAGCAGTTGTAAGGGAAGCTCTCCGCCTGCTGGGTAAGCTCGGGCCTGTGTGCCTGAGGCTGCCAATAATGCCCCATTGCCAACGTCACCTCCACAGGTGCAGCTGTGCCGCTAGCCCACGCTTATCACTTAAACCGACCCAGACCGTCTCGATGCAGACAAAACAGTCCCTGTGATCTAGATCATATCCGATATCTGGAGATAAGTCGCTGCTGGCTCTGTTTACAGAGAACGAATCCCTCATATCCCACCTGCCTTGGGCCCTTCGAGGTCCTGTATCCGCAGTCATGATGGCAGGTCTTAAGACTATTATCGCTCTCTCCTTTGTGAGTCCCTCATTATTCATTATTGCTTTGGTGGCGCATTGTACTGATCCAATATCTTTGCTGCTTAGGTTCTTGCCATTGGCTTTCTTCTGGTCATCCTCTCCTCCGCTCTTTGGCACAACTTCCTCCCGTTGATTGTGGTTGCGACATATGTCATCGCTCCTCTACCGAACTGGATTTGCGCTCGATGCGCTAATCCAGATGATTTTATGGACAGTTCTGGTAATGCAGTCGCTGATTTTGGGCGATTCTTGACTGGTTTCCTGGTGTTGATGGGTATTGGTAAGTTTGTTCTGTCTACTGCCATCCTTCTTCCTCTGTCGCATTTGCGTCTCGTGGGATACCCTCATTATATGCTTTGCAAACCTTTTGTCATATGATTGGTATCTAATGCGGATGACTCTAGCCCTGCCGGCCGTGCTTGCGCATAGCGGAGCTATCCAGGTCCCTGCCATGATCATGTCCATCCTCGGAGGTCTTCTGATTTACGGCACTATTATCAGTTTCTCGATGTTCTTCAAGGAGCAAGAGGAGTTTTGATCCCCATAAAGTGTCAGCCGCAACGGGGAACGCTCGAGGGCGGATACTTTTTCTACGAACCCATTCCAGCAGACCGTTCATAAACCTCTGTGCAGTCCTAGGACACTGGCTCACCACAAGTGACGATTTGTTTTTTCCCGCTTGATTTGACCTATGGTTACTCTTATGTGAAGTTTTTTGAACTGCAGCCTGTCTCATTTTGACCCTGTTTTGTCAGCGATACGAACGGTGTACTATAGCCGATGCGAAGTTATATAGAGCATTGCCACGGTATTTCTTGGATAATACCCCTAGCTGGACTTAAGCTTCGATGATCCTTTTGAATCTCATGCTATGTATTGCATGGTATTGGTACATAGACAAGATTTCGGATACAGCCCGTCGACTAATTAGTTTACATAGACAGAGTAGACGGCACGTGACCGCGCGCCGGTATCCAGAGCGCGTCGTGTTGCAAGTAGAAACCTCCCACTACAGCAACCTAGTAAAGTGCGCCTGTATCTGTACCAGCGAATCTTCACATCGGCAAGATATGCAATTCTCGGGCCATATAATTACTCTACAATGGACATTTGGTCTGGATCCATTGCGCTGGACAGGCAATCTCTGCTTCGAGGTACCGCTTCACGCGACTGGGCCCTCTGCTTTGCGCGCTGCTCACTACCCAATTCACAGGTTTACGTCTGATCGACCGGACGTCCAACTGGCAATCCGATACACTCAAAGATTCAAGTTTAGCTTTTCGAAGCTTCGTGAATCCCGCACTGATACCCTTTTACGCGAGAACTGGACCGAGCCTTGAAGTACACACAGCTGACGTCGAAACATCACAATGGCTTAAGAGCAAATTACTGGGCAACATATGGCTGGAGGAGGAGGAACTAGAAAAGTTCCAGACGTTTCAATGTCCGGTTGGAATTCTTCTCTGTGTCAACAGGCTATCTGGAGCCAAGGCTTCTGGTCTCCTTACAACAGATCTATTGGTCCATGGTGTGCTGTCAAGCGCAGCCTCAGTTGAACGGCCACCTACTCCGCCTATCTCGTCTTCTCCCGGACCGTATGAGTATGCATCTCATGTTTATAAGCAGGAGCTGAGAATCTACGCGACCCCGCTTTCTTCGTCCCTCATCACAAAGACTCAGGCTCTTTGTTCCCCACCGCAAGATCCGGACGGGCTCGCCAGCGATGGACGATTTGCTGAATTTCTTCCGGACATTCGGTCACCCAGTCCCAAGCGTAAACGAGTTGCTACGCTGTTTGAGACTGCTGCTCAGCATCACAAGAAAGTGCGACAGAAAGGAGGAGAGGCGGTATCCCAGTTGATGGCCAGCTCGCTTTCCCATCCCTCCCAACATCTACA